TTTCAAAGAAAAGTGTGGCTTTTCAAAGATAAAATTCCAAACCTGTCGACAGATTCATTTTTGTAAATAACCAATTCGGTTTCTGTCGTAAAAACAACGGTAAACATTGCCTTATTTTGGGGTCAATTTTGAGCCTTTAAAGTGCTCTAGCAACTTATTGTTGGCATATATAACTTTCATTTTCGGGATATAGGTTCTTTGGAGCAGTAGAAATATTATCAGGTACAAATTTTATATAAATTTAACAAATATTGAGCATTTTAAGGCAAAAAATTGTTGAAAAAATTTGCAAATTTTTTTCATTACCAAAATGCTCGAAAACCGCTCGAATGATTTTGTTTTTGTTTTCTTTAATCAAAAATTCAAGAGTTTTCCTTTCGTTTGGTATATGGGAAGTATTGGTTGATATCTTCTATATATGTTTATTTTATTCAAATATATGGGCATAAATGATTTTCCATACAAAATCACCTCGTCATCATTTTGCAAACACGTGCATATGTTGGAAGTGTGGGAAGGAGACAAAAAGTATGTATGCGTATGTAATGCGGCTTTTGATAAACAGAGGCGCGCTATTTATAACCTAATCGCAGCGTGTGTACATATGTAAATACATACATACGTACATATGTTGATTGCAGTTAATGTGGATCTGTTTCTATTTTTAGTAATCTATGTATGTCTATACATACATATGTACATACATATTATATATGTACATACATATATGAACACATGTATGCATAATACGCGAAGACTTTTCGAAGTGAAACAACATTTAGAAAAAGTCCAATCCAAGAATAAAAGTAAAGGTGAGGACGTACATAGATAAAGAAAAGGATAAAGGCCAAGGTAAAAATAAACACAAAAACAAAATTGAGTAAAGATAAAGGCAAACATGAAGACCAAGGTAAATTTTAACACTTTACTTATATGTATAAGTGCAAAGGTGAAGGGGAATATGTATATGAAGAATATGATAAACATAAAAATAAAAACAAAGATAAATATAAAGAAAAAGATGCGGATGAGGATACCGATAAAAGTATAGATGAAGATAGAGGAAGGAAGATTAAAATAAAGGTAGTTGTAGAGAAAAGGATATAGATAAAGGCACAGAGACTCAATCTCGGAACTATTTCGGGATTTTAGGGATTCTCGGGACTTATCGATATAATCGATATTTTGTTGGTTTTTCTTAGTGTGTGATTTCGTTTTTGACTTGGATATGCTCTTAACCATACCACGTATTCTACGTTTAAATATAGCGGCTGTATCTCCGATACAGCCTGCAGACCAAGACGAAGGCGCTGGACTGTTCCTTTTTTATACCCGTTCGAGTATAAAGGTGAACAATTAGTCTCTCGAACAAAAGCGATCAGTTCATTCCATATAAAGAGATCAAAAGTGGTATTAGTCGCATGCTCTTTTGCGATTGCTACCGGAGTCATCCCGGATTAGTCCCATTTTTTGCAGGGATGTTACATATACGATGCACGTGCATGTTACAAATGCATACACCTCCTATTATCAGTTCAATGATGGCATATTAAAGTGCTACACTTCTGAACTTTTTGCGCGGGAATAAGTGAAACTGCATTCAATAGTAGAATTACAAGTTTCTGGGCACATACTTACTTACTGTACATGCGAATGTACATATGAACTTAAATATGTATGTACATAGGTATGTAAATATTTCAATAAGACTGTGTTCTGTGTACATTTTAGTAAGTTGAGATTAACATAACGGATGTTCAGCCATAATGCTGTGTTACTGCGGGGTAAATACATATAAGCTATGGTATATTAAACGACCCACAAAATGTTTCATTATACATGTGGATGATACATAAATGATGCGTCTAAAAGGTCTAGAATAGTAAATTGAAATAAAAGTTGCAAATGTTGGAAAAGGGCATTTGAGCGCGTTGGCGTTTCAAATTGAAATAAATATTTAGCACAAGCTTTAGGGGATTTAGAATTTATTTATAATCGCTTGATTTGGGGAAGTGCCCACTATGGTAGCTCGTGAGATGAATACTTAATCCTTGAGCACCGGGTCTTTACGACTATTTAGTACCTTTAACACCATTTTCTGAGACCTTCCTCAATCGAATAGTATAATAATTGCTGCCAGAGCCAACTTTAAAAAGGATTCAAGTTTATTGTCTAAATAAATATTTTATGAAAATCCGAGGAGAGAATCGGATTCTTAGAATTTCTTTCTCAGATTTTTGTAATATGTTAAAGGCTGGCATAAAACATTTTACTGAAGTATTTTCCGCAATTGGACTGCCTCAACTTATTTTGGAATCGGCCAGTCTATCGTTTTGTATTTTATTCCTGTTAGCGAGCTAAATAAAACCAATTGTCGTTGTGCATGCGCTGAGAAGAAGACATAACTGAGAAATGCAGGCGATGAATTGCGCCTACCATTATAGAGCAATTTGTTCAGCTATACCTGTGACAGCTAACGTCACTGAGTGGTCCGTGTTCAGATTTGCCGGACTCGGACTCGGACTCGAACTCGCACCCGAACCGTTTTAATTTTGAAATGACCAACCGAAAACCACTTCAAAAAATGATTCGCTTCCAAATGAAAATCCACAAAAGCATTTTCAAGTTTTAAAAGCACAACTTTACCTAAAAATGGTAGAACAGCTAATATTTTTTTGTTTGATGGCAACAAACTGTAAGTCAAGATGTTGAGTGTCTATACTATATTTATTTAAATTAATTTAATTTTTATAAACTTATATTTATATTTTTAACTCAATTATTTTTATCTTTTGTTTAAGTTTATTTTAATTTTAAGATTTTATTATTTTAACAAGAAAACTATTTTTTTAATTCATTTAAGTTTACGAGCTTTTTTGTTCTGTTGCTTTATATATTTTTTGAAATTTAATTTGCTTTTATTTTTTTATTATTATTTTAAACGAAAAATATATTTTTTTCATTTAATATTCTTTAAATTTTTAGAGTTTATTTTGTTAAGAAGAAAAGCAATTATTTGTATTTATTTTCTTAACTGAATTGTTTTTGTTTTTAATTGCTTTTATTATAATTTTTAGATTTTATTATTAAAAAAAAGAAAAATATATGTTTTGATATTCATTTAAGTTTAGGAGCTTATATTTTTGATTTTGTAATTATTTTTTTAATTAAATTCTTTTCTCATTCTCAGATCATATTATTTTAAAAGGAAAAGTATATGTTTTTATTTTATTTAATTTTTAGGAACTTATTTAATTAAATAATTTTTTTTTTGATTTAGTGCTTCTTTTGGGCCTAATAAAAAATCATATAAAATAATTTTGATTGAGTCTGAGGAGATCGCTTTTTAAGAAAGATTATTGTGGAACAAAAAACGATATTTTATAATTGGTAGAAGCTATTGCTGCAATTTTGAAGATCAGCATAACTCCTCATCAGATTTCTTGTTTTTATTTTAATTTATTGTTCAAAAATTTAATGCTTTTAAATTTTTTTTTAATTATTATGCTTATTTTTATTTTCTTTTAGTATACATATTTTTTGGTAATGCCATTCAATTTTTAGAAAACTTATTGCTAAAATACAAACCAAAAAACGCCTACACATCCTCGTTAGCAAATCCTTCAATTAGTCTTTCGATATACAGAAAAGTGCTTCATGACTATTGCCAATAATGACAATTTTCTATGAAAGACTTTTGTCTTTCGAAAGGCTGTAGTGAGTTGAAAGACATTTGCTAAAATGGCCCTGTTAGTATAAATAAAATTTAACCAAACCGTACCGCGGTTTAGATATACTAATGAACCGGTAATTTTTATTTTTTTTTTCAAGTAGTTAGAACCACTGAACCGAACTGTATCGATTTTTGGAGCAATTTCCAGCCCTGGTATAAACACTTTACACGTCTAGCCAAAAATTAATACTTAAACAAGTTTACAGAAATTAAAAAATGTTCCGACCTGTGAGATTTTAGCAAAATTTCTTAGGCAAAATTTTCCGCTGAATTCAAATATGTAATGAAATTATAAAAAAGTAGAACAGTTTTTAAAATATAGCCAAATTTCGGTTTTCGACATCTGATAAAAGTGCTCTCTTTATATAACAGTTTTATTTTAAATGCAGTTGGCCAATCTCAAATTTCAACATACATGTGTACGTATGTACATTGGTGAAGCTTATTAAATTTTCTATCACGTATGTACATATTTATACAATATTTATTTTCCAACCGATTAAGTAGTTCAGGGGATATAAATTGATTTTTCGACTATTTTACGATCAACCATTTAAGCATAAGAGGTGGAAATTACTTATGTCCCTTCTAAAATAAACTGCCAATATGTATATAGGTTCATCGTTGGTAGGCGAAACGTTCGTTGTCAGCGGTGACCTCAAATTCCAGTTTCTATCAACTTTCATAATGTCCGAGTGTTGGCTGTCTTATCTTTGCAAAAATACTGACATAATTGAATTTATTTTTGATCAATCTAAAAATCTCATGCTTAGCTGAACACTACCGGCTGTATTGCAAGTAAGGGCAAATAAAGTTTTTCTCTTAGTTGAGGATACTTAATTAAATCATTATACCTTATTTCCGTCGACAACCCCCATTTCAAACATTTATTTATTTCTAAGCTGACATAGTTTTACCGACAGATACTGATTTCATCATTATTCTGTATTCTTTCCGTCTTCATTTGTAATTTTCTTGCATATCAACCCTTTTTAATGTCCCCTTTCAACTATTCCCCATTAAGTAGAATATTTTTGCTACGCTTCATAACCAGCAATTTCCCACGTAATTTGTCCTTTCTGTGCGGCGACTTAGTGACTTTGTTATAAACTTTATGATTTTAATAAATATTTTCAAGCCCAGCGGGAATAATTACGCTGTCTAACTGCTAACCCAATAACGCGCACCTCTCTACAATTATGTACACGCTTTCTTTTTTTTGCCAAATGACTGGGCAGCATTGCCGGCTGTGTGACAGCCAACTTACCTGGTTCTATGTCATTCTCCAGTTGCCTTATATAGTCAATGAATGCCGCCTTTCCGTGTAGCGCCTATTCAACTTCGGAGCCAACGTTTATAGAATCCTGTTGCCTTGGTTGATTTTGTTGGTGGCTTTACGCTTCTCCTTGTTTTTATGCGCTCGTAATTGTAAATTGTACGTACTTAGTTGTGGGCGTGCGATTTCTATTTAGCCGAGCAGTGTGTCAGAATTATGCAAATAATTTTAACGAATTTGCCACAAATGTTGTCTTTGCCTTTTGTAACCCTTGGCAAATGTGTCTACCGACTAAACTGTCAATATGTCTACGGTTGTGTATTTGTAAATATATGTATGGATTTGTGCAACTGTAGATTTTAAACTTGGGTTGCGGCGTATTTCTCACTTCCGTGTCTCCTTTTATGCTCGGCAGTTTCACTCAGTTCGAAATTGAATTAATAATCTGAAATGATGAGAACCTGAGATAAGTAAATGGAAATTTAATCTAAGCGCTGAAATTGGAATTGACATTTGAGTAAGGTGTCGGCGGAATGCTCTTGAAGAGGGTACAGTTTAAGTAAATTTGAAATTGAGTAGCATTAATGTCTGTTGTAGGACATTATTTTCAGAAATCGTGTCATCTCAACATTATTTTTAGACGTTCGATATTAAAAGGTTAGAGACTTGGAGACTGGCAGTTCCAATTTTCATTTGATTAGACTAATTTCTAAATAGGCGGCTATGTTAGGATAAGTTGGGGATACACTTGTGTATTATACATCTAGTTTGTCATGTGCGATACCACGATCCAATCACGAAGTTGCGATTGCGGCTAATATCGCTTCTAAATTGCGAGCCAAGATACATACTTACATCGGTCTTAGCCTCGCAAAAGCCATACAGCCTAGTAGAAAGTGATTCGCTCTCATCATTCTTCAGGCAATTGCAGCAGTAAGGACGAGATAAGATTTTTGGCCTTGCCGTGTGAATGCCGAACTGTCAGAACCCCTACCTAAAGCAAGAGCTGTGGGTTTAGGATCATAATAATCTCCTTTGACCGCCCAGTCTACGCTCTTAGTTTACGCCCAGCTTTCGCAGAGCTGGGACACATCTATCCAAGATTGAATTATAGTTTGCCAGGGCAGCTTCCACTCGTTATCTGCCCAGTCATTTCAATAATGTACCCTTTTTCCTCAATTCATCAGCTCTGCAATGCCACTATGGCCTGGTACCCATATAACTAAGTACATATGAATACTTGGAAAATAGTCCGATGCACAGGAGATGAAGGTCCGACCCTCTCCGAACTATTTTTAGAGCACCATTAAGGAACTCAATGCCGTGAATGGCACTTGACGATTAGAATAGGAGCCCAAAAGCATCATTAGTATAAGTGGGGCTAGTGCGAGATACACTTTATAGGCTTAACTATGATTTCATAGAGTCACGGAATTATTTAGGTTGGGACACCATCTTCCTTACCACTTCTTCTCCAAGATCAGACCCAAGAAGAGTTGCTTTGAGGATCTTGTGCTTCCTAGAGAAGAGAATAAGATCAATTGCGCGACTTATTTACTCTCAGTCCTTCATTGATCTAGACTGAGCACAGTATTGCAGGTTGTAACAAAATTTTTTGAGGGCTCGAATAGCCTCTGGCTGTTTTAATGGATAACTACAAAAAAACCTTTTCTAAGAATAATTTTTTCGCAGATAGAGTGACCATCTGCTTATTGCAATTATAAGTCTAGTGTCGGCACCTTAAATATCCTTTATACCTTTAGTTCATACACTTCACTTCATTTACACAAACTTGAAGCAGAAATATTTCAAATTGTATGAACTAAAGGGTAGTATACATAACGTCACCCTTATGCTAGAAGCATGAATGTGCAAATTTATCAGTTATTGAGTTGACTTGATTAACCTTTGGATGTTCTATGTTATACCAAAACCCAGAATACTAAGCGTACACGGAAACCACATTTTTCACAATTTGATTTGCGTAAATGTAGAGTTAAGTCTCACAAAAAAACTTTTAAACTTGATATAATAAAATTGTAACAGGCCGATGTCTGTACATTATCGATTTCAAAGAAAAATTAATATAAGTGTCTTTATTAGAGCAACAGAAACCAAATCAGCAATTTCTAGAATTTTTGTCGGTCTGTCTGTATGTTTGTACACGCATCATTCGAAAACTGATGCATGGAATCGAATGCAGTTTACACCGATGCATTGCTGAAGGTCTAACTTAAAATATAGGAAAAAAAATAATTAGAGAGTTGCCACCTATTTGAAAATTCCAGTTTAAGTAAATTGATAAGATAAAGTAAATATTGCAATATGGCATTCAAAAAAGAGATGTCATAAGACTTATAGTAGAAAATATTTCTGTGGAAGGTTGCCACCTTTTGAAAATTTCAATTCGATTTAATTGATAAAATAAATTAAATATTGCAATATGGGTATCAAACCAAAGAGTCTTAGGAATATTTCCTGCCAAAAATATTTTTGAGGAGGGTTGCCACTGGTTTGAAAGATAGTATTCAATTATGGAATTGATAAAATAAATGAAATATTACAATACGGGTATCAAACTACAGAGGTTTAAGGAAGTCTACTGCCAAAAACATTTTTGTAGCGAGTTGCCCCCTATTTGAACAGTTTTATTCAGTTAAAGTGATAAGATAAGGCACATACATACTGAATTAATACTGAATTAATCAAGTTATAAGAGTATTAATTAAATTTCCAGGGTTAAATACCTTCGAAAATAAATGTGTTAACCAACACCCTTATTCATAAAAAATAAAGTATGTTTTATCAATGGAAAATTTGTTTTAAAAACTCCCTTCATAAAGATTTTCAAATCTATTTAAATTGACGAAAGAAGCCATAAGAGTTTTGAAAAGGAACAACAACACAAAAATACTTATAAGGAGGAAATCCATTTGTCCAGAATTTTCGTTGTGGGAATATAGAATTTAGTTCCAAAGCAGACTTTTATTAACAGGGTGTTTGAAATACCACATTTTCCAAACCCTGGGAATTTTCTTAAAATATCACTCTGATGTTTGTCCACGTGCAGATACTGCCAGATATTCGGATAAAACGCTTATCCAGGGTGGTATCCAGAAAATTGATCTCATCGGCATATTCCAGAATGGTGCCTACAAGTATATCCGTTTAATATTTCCTCGAAAACCGTGCAACAGTATTTTGCGGGTTAAAACTAAAGGTCTCATTGGCACACCCGCTCAACAGCTGAAACAGTACTGCTGAGCTTGCCGTAATAGTTCAATCAGACCTACAAAAGTATGAGAGAAAATGCATGTCCCTTTGAGAAAATTACATGACGCTGATGTTCACGACAGTATTGCCTATGGCCGAAAAAATATTGCGCTGTCGAAGAATAAAGACGATTCGGGCAACATCAGAAAGACCAAACCCTTCGGCAGACTCCCTAAATGTCCAAGAATTCACGCAGACGGGAAACTGGAAGCTAAATATGAAATTCGCTAAAAAGTGCATTATGGTAATGCCTCATGTTTTTTGGTGAAATCGCTAGTGCATCAAGCAAAATCATAAGAAAACTGGTTGATGGTTAACCGCTGGGTGGTGCACCGTTCAAAGCCAGTTGACTGACAACAGCTACACATAAAAGATTTGCAACGAATTGTTAGCTTATGGCATATATTTCGATTTCGCTGCGGCTGGCTACTCGATTTGCGCAATCAAGATTATTTCTCAAATGCCAGCTACCACTGGCTGAATAAAAGGAAAACATAAATTGAGAACGAACTTATGATTTGCCTTTCAAATTTTCCATTCTGCTAACTGGCGATTGCTTGAATTATTCGACATACTATTTCAGTATCTAACTTTTTCGGACAGCAATCAATTGCGGTAGTATGGCAAATTATGAAATGCCTACCTATCAAGTGCCTATTAGTTGGAAAAGTTCAGAACGGTTGCGATGCAAGTCAGAATGCGGAAGCGCCAACGCCAACGCAGAGCGAATAAACTGAATTAGGTGCCTCAATAACCGATTGTGGCAAGGCCAGCACAGTGGGCAGCAACAAAGCAGCTGGCCAGCTGGTCAGCTGGAAAAAGATGAGCAGTTGGGCAGTCAATATGTTTGCATGTTGGGCGTGCTCATGAGCCATGCAATATGCAACACGAGCATGAGCATCCCACTTATCAGCGCGGCATCTCTGCCAGATGCGGCTGATAAGCAGCAACAAAGCACAGCTGGAAGACAACACAATTTGTGGGCAGATTCATGGTGGCTACTGGGCAGTGGCTGGACTGAAAGCGAGTATGGAACAGAGGAGAAGCTGAAACGAAAGTATATTCATGATGATCCAGTGAATTTGAGGCGTTGTATTGCTTTTATGAAAAAGCGAGTATGTATGTAGAATGCCCGTTTGTATGTACGCACGAATATGTCTGTGACGAGATTCGTTATGCAAAAGCGCACGTTTTGGTTTATAAACAAAATTAACGCAATGGAATACGTTGTAACTACACTGGCGTTCTCGAATGACTTACCACCACTATTAAAAAGAAAGAGGTAGAATTTTGTAAATTAAAAAAATTTTTTTACAAGATTTACAATCTATCTAATTAAATTTTGCTATAAATTTTTAACCAACTTCCCGATGAGCTAGAGCCTTGAAACTTTACGTTTAACTCAGGACCCGATGACAATGAAATATGAATTAGTCTGCTAGATGGCGCAGGAGTAGAGGTGTTTCGAAAACGATGCGATTTGTTTTATATTTACAAATAATTCCACAAAAAATGTAGTCGTTGGATGGTTTGGTGATCGACTTTTTTTAAGCCAATAATAATAACTGTTTAAATTTTTTTTAATTACTTGTTTTTTAAACATAGTTCATATGTACTATACAAACGAAACTGCATACCCGAAATTTTCCTAAAAATTTTGATCTAAAAGTTTAAAATTTTGATAAAATTTGAAATTTTTTTTATCTTACAAAGTTTGAAACTTTGATTTATACAGTTTTCGTTTTAATATGAACTATATTAAAAAAAATATATTTTTATTAATTTACAAAATTTTACCTAATTTAAAAAAAGTGCGCCTTGGCCACAATGGAGAAGTGAACTTACGTTACATATCTATCTAGTTTTTCTCATAACGAATATGCATAGTACCTATATACAGACAAATGCATTTAATTGGTTCAAAATTGTGAATAAAACGACCGGCTAGTTGATATAAAATATTAAAAGCTTAAGGATATAGATATTTTTTTCTTTCTATCTTTATGCCTACCTCTATCCTTTTCGTTCATCGATAGAAATATTGATAAAAAATCTATAAATATGTTCATAAAAATATCAATAACATAAATACCTAACAATATCGATAAAAATATCAATAAAAATATATAGATATAGATATCATAATCGATATCAATAAAAATACCTAT